AATAAATAAAAATAAAGTTTCCGGGTCAACCCACCCGATCGGTCTTGAGCCGGAAATGTACTTAAATAACACAATAAATTGCAAACTAACCTCTCCTGTCCGCATTCGGGCAGTGTTTTGTGTCGTCTGATGTCTTTTAAGTTATCAAAGCCTTTCAAAGCTTATGGTTGTCGATCTCTTCCCACAAAACTTCACGAGAAGCCAGTCCCCGACATCTCAGTCCTTGTAGGGCTCATTAGCCTCTTCATTTACAGGCAATTCATTGATGGTTAAATCCGTGAACATATATTCTGAGTCATCTGGATTAGAGCTACTATCTTCTGGGTCAGTCTTCAATCCTCTTCCTCTTCTTGCCTATTGCTGGTTTTTTGGGCGGCACAGTAGTAGAATCTTTTGATGTAGACGCCCGAGTGTTATAGACACAATCAGTTTGCGACACACTTTTGCCTAAGGCAACGTTTTTCTTCTTTTTTATCCTCGGCTGCCCCTGGAGTGTCATAACGCAGTTTTGACAACAGGTCAATCACCCCCTCTCCAACAAGTTCCACTGCTTTTTTTTTGTGATTCTTCTACGGAATTGGTGGGGAGCTTAGCTAATACAACGTTCGCATCTAGGGGTACAATGCCACAGGCTTTGAACCCGGCCTGTAGATTTTTTCCAGCATTTCCGGATATGGCATCCATCAATTTCCCAAAAAGGTGCGGGAAATGATTTTTTGGCAGACTTTACAGTTGGCGGTCTGCTGACAGCTTCCATTCCCCTAGATTCTCCCTCCACACATGTTTTAACGGCCTGAAGAAGGCAACGTCCAAGGGTTAAAGGAGGTGGGTGGCATTTGGAGGCATGCACACAAACAAAATTTCATTGTCCTCGCACAATTTTACAGCCTCAGGTGACACGTGTGTGGACAAATTGTCCCCAATCATGACTTTCTTACCTTCTTTAGATTTTGCCCAAGGCAAGGCAATGGGTTTAAACCAATCGGTAAAAGTAATTTTGTCATTCCCCCCACATTTGGATCGATTGTACCTCCTGCCTTCGGGACACTCTACAACCCAAGTGTCCCAAAGTCGTTTGACCTTGTAGCAAACATAAGGCGGTAAAACTTCACCACTTGAAGTCCCAGCAAACATTAGTGACACAGCACTCTTTGAGGAATTGAGTACCCTCTCTTGGTATTTTCTCCCTGTCTTGAAAACACACTTCTTGGCTCCAGGGTCATCCGTTAGATTTGTTTCATCGTAGTTCATGATATTTTCCTTCGGTATGTTGTCGAGTGTAACCTTCTGATATTAGCTGTGACTTTTTACTTGATCCAGCTACCTCTTTCTTTTGCTTTGCTTAGCTGTTGTACAAAACCCAGAAAGAGTTGGATTCGAACATTAGGAGTTACTTTGTTCCCCCTAGAAGCCCTAGATATACTGTCCTGGGCCTCCATGCTCAGATCCCACGTTGCCGGCTCAGAGACAGGGTTTTGCCCAGGGTTATATCAGCTCAATCGCTTGAATTAGCCGCACAATCACAATCACAATCCTCAGCCTTGTGCGATTCTTCAAGGATGAGTAATCCATAATGCATGGGTAAGCCCTCCGTGATGGAGGGGCTGTATTCACGCCTAGGCGCTGACCTACCTAGTTTCTGTAGTTCTGTGATATGGATCGCAGGTCGAAGTTTGGTAAATGATATGCATGTTAACGTTGGCATGGATTTATTCAAAAGTGACCGAGCACTCAATATAGGTCAAACGGTACACTTCAAACTCACTACAGTCCAAGTACAACAATGTACAGTCTGGGCGAATAATATAAAAGTAACATGATATATATATATAAAAGAAAATATTATGACAAGTTCTGTAGTCTCTTTAGTTTTATTGTCAGACATCATTTCCTCCTGAAACACACCAGTTAGCAAAATATTACTTTTATATCTGGGGAGGATAAAAAACAAATGTTATTGTCTTTATGTCCTTAAAATATTAGTTTTAACAAAGGTGACATGTAAAAAATGTGATACCAAAAGTTGATTTACAATATTAAATTGATTGATTACATACGTTTATTCCAGCTCTTTAATACCGAACAAATTATCGTCCTCACTACTGTCGCTGTTTCCTAGAGATATTATCATTGATTCTATGAGGTTGTTGATCCGCGGCTCAGCTGAAGCGTAATTATTTTCAATACCTTTCACATACTCCTACTTGTTCTTCCATTCTTTTGCACCAATGAGGTTGAAATTTTCCTCTTCGAATGACTGTATGCTCTCGAAGCTTCGTGTGACATATCTGCTAGCTACGTAATTTTCACTTCAGCCCAAATAAGTTCTATTGGGTTTAAGTCTGGGTGGTAGGTGTGGAGACGATGAATAACATGGTCAGTATCCGCGAGTAGTTCATCAAGTTTGTAACAAACAAAACTTGGTTTGTACTGCAGAATAAGATTGTACAAAACTTCAAAACCAGCATTTTGTCAAAAAATTGTATTGGTAATCACCCGTAGTTTTCAATGTCTTCCGCATTGTCAAGGGGTCAGAGACACAAACCCAGCTTCATTAAACGTTGCCCTTTAAAAATGGGATCACGCATTCCTTTGGTTGAGTCATCTGACCACGATAGGCTTGACACATGGTCAGTTAAAATGTACGACTCGTCCATGAAAATAATTGATCTACCCTCACTTGTATGACGTTTAAGTGCTCTCAAATAAGAAATTCTTTTTTCTCTGATTTCAAGGGTCTTAATCAAAACTTTGGGGTTGTGAATTCCTCCACTTGAAACCAAGCTCTTAGATTCTATTATATTTTATTACAAGGTCTCCGTGTGGTCTACACATTGAAGAATGGTTTCTCCCAAAGTAACAAGAGGTCTGGTCAGAGTCCACAAGACTTGTTGGTTGCCTTCACACCAAAGACCAAACACTTTTACGGTGATTGCTTCATTTCCAGCTGGTCGACATGCATCCCCAAGCCAGACTGATCAAGTAGCCGAATCAGAGGGTCAAGCACCATATTGAAGATCAGGGATGATAGGGGATCTTCCTGCTTGCTCTTCTGAGTCAAACCTCGAAGTTCCCCACACATCCCGGCAATGGTTCTAAAAACCACAGGCGGGGCTCTGCGTCCGACAAGCGCCCTCTCGATGGCCCAGTGGGGGACAGAGCTGAATGCTTTTGAAACGTTTGTTACTGCCACTGACAAACTGGATCGCTTTTCCTTCCAAATTAACTCGTCCAGATAACAAGTGTTGGCAAAACATCCATTCCTAGCAACAAAGCCGCGCTGCCTCACATCCAAGACAACTTTCTCCCTTAACCTATCCTCCAGTACTCTGCTGAAGAGCCTCGAGAACACGTTGCCAATAGTTATCTGCCTCCCTGCTGGTGCCTCGCTGGAGTTGTTACAGGGGATCTGCTGACCCTTGAAGACTTGGCGAAGGCCTTAGCAGCTTCCTCTTCCCTACTACCAGACATCCTAACCAAAATCTAGAAAACCCGGCAAATCCACCGTCGAAGTCTTTGAACATGAAAGCGTCTTCAGTGCGTACCCTGTTGAAATCTGCAGAAATCCGCGGCTTCAGTAACTCCAGACGTTGAAGTCTCCTTATTGTATCCCTTTGCCTCACTTTTTCTGTCCCTAAAAGGGACTAAACAAGAAAATTTTCTTGAGGGGAATTCTTCCTTTAGAGGGTAAGCACGAAGACTGAAATTATCCACCCAGGGTAAGCCCAGAACAAAATCCCATTCCCATGCAAAAAAAGTGGCCTCCAAATATTCTTCCTCTTCTCGCCTTTTTTTTAAAGGGTGGGAACCGGACCGGAACAATAAAAGTCGTGAGTTGTCTGCAATCACAGTATTGTTTTTCTTAATTTTTACACCCCAATCTTCACATAATCTGATAGAATATTTAGCAATATAATCAGCAGTAGGCTATGTGATTCACTTAACACATTCGCTGCTGCTAAAAAATTCTAATGCACCTACAAATACTGAAAATAGTTTTCACTTAAAATCTTACCTTTCGTGATAGAAATGACGATATCTGGCATCGAAATGGAAATTCCAGTGGCGTATCTATGGTCCTGGGCATCCAGAATCCATGGGTCACCGGTGACGCAGTAGCATTGGGCGATGAAACGCCGCCGGACACCACCTCTTCTGCTGCCGGGTTTCGACACAAGTCACTTTGTTTGGTAGAAATAAGTTCAATGTTAATAATTACCTAAATAAATTATTGGACTATTAAATAGTGTAAATTTTACACTCCTCCCACTCTCCCTTTTCTCTCTCTGGCTGGTTGTCATGGTATTGTTGAAAGCACTGGCCAATGCAGAGGCCAGGTTTGTCAACACATGTGCCACAAAGATAGGCTGTTTTGACCCTTTTTCCGGTCAGTTTCATTCACGATCTGCAGTTCTTTCTTGTAGAAATCTATTTTTGGCATCACGTTCTGTGCTTTTCACAGACTGATTGGCACTTTATTGGGCGCTTTTCTGAGCCAGTGACTCTACTAACTCGGCGCGAAACGTTACGAGCGAAATTATGACTTTTAGTCTATAGTCATAAAATGTCTTCATCTCATTGAACATATTGTACAATGCATAAGAGTTCAAGAGTATCCTCTGAAGAATATGAAGGAATATCTTCTTATACCATCGAATGGTTTTATGCTCTGAAGGGTCATCATCTAAAGTAGTAATTTATAGAAACACTTCACGTCAAACATCAACGGGTAATGCAGACTTCAAAAGGCAAACTTAATGTTGGTTGTTTTGTCTAAGGCTTTACGAAAACAACAGGTTTGGTTAAGCTACGTCATTGGTCTTTATGTTATGTTCCTCTTACAAATTTCAGTAGCCTATACCGGTGCCTATTTTGAACACTGTATTTGATACATGATTGCAATTGGTGGAAGGTAGAACTGGTACATTGACATTGTATACTTTCTTAGCAACCTACATGATACTGATACTACTAACCATGTCATATGATTATTGTTTCAGAGACAAGAAAAGCAAAAGGCAAACTTAGCACTAGCTCGGCAACGTCAAAAAGAGTTGAAAGAAAGATTGAAAAATGCAGAATACCAGTAAAGATACTCCACCAATAGAAGAAAGTTATGATAAGGAAATAGAAGAACTAAGTTTGGTTGAGCGTTACTATACTCCGAGATATCGGGTGAACTTTGAGCAGCAAGGAGACGACTTCTGTGTGTTGTTCCACTCTAACCGTATCTGTGTCATTTCGCTTGCCCCGTCCCACACTGTGCTGACCGAACACAAACAAGTCTCAAAGATCATTGTAAGTTGATGTTTCTTGATATGTTCCAATTATATTTAACCCACCAATTTTTCTTATGTATATATTATCCCCTTGTATTTATGATAGGTATAATAATATTTGGTAAAGTTGAATAAGGCTGTTAGTCTGTGTTATAATATACAAGACACTTTTTCGACTATCCCCAAAGATTTTCTACGATAATGTCTAGACAAGTTTACCATAGTTGCATGTGATTAAATACACGGATATGGATTAACAACTTCAAACATTAGATAGTAGGGTTTCACGGTCGTAGTACTCTGTCGAATCCAGGTCTTTGGAATAACCATGTTGTTGATTTGGTCGATGTTTCGGATGCATTGCAGAACCTAGTTTTCATCTCCACTATCACACTGTCCAAGATGACTTGAATACTCTAATTTTAAAAATGGACTTAGAATCGTGATCATGGTACATCACATCGTCTGCATTGTTTCCGTCTTCATCAGATGGTTTCTTTCTTTGCTTTTACTCCTCCTCAAGTTGCTGTGGCCAACCTATATTTTCTGCCACAAGGAGAACCTCATATATATTATGTCCCATCCGTAATTTCGAAGTTGGCTTAGGAAGTCCGGATCAAAGAATTCAGTTTTCTTGAAGCATTATCCACTTTCTCACCAAGGTGTTGTAATACTCAGTTTAACATGTCTATTAATTTCAAAGCTTTAAACCAAATTGACAAAAGAAGAAGGCAATTGAAGGTCTTAAAATATTTTTTTAGACCTTCTATGTCTCGACGACATTGATGATAAATTAAGACCTGAGCCATGACTATTTTCCACCGGCGAATGTCATGACTCCTTTTCAATGGTCAAGTTGTTTTTTTTTATAGTATGTGTTTTGCCATGCTACTATTGAACGACCCTCTGTGACTCTGTGCGTTACGCTTTTTCTTACGCCCGCTAACCTCTTTATTTCAATTTAAGTTAAGATTTTTTACTTTATTTTACTTCAATTTTATGTGTTCAAAAGTTACCTTATAAAGGTACAGGTTTTAAGTTTTTATAAAATTTATATAAATATAGTTTATTTATGGAGCTGCAAGATCTGAATTGTTTTCAGATTCCAGTACTGTATTCATATAATTTTCTTACAAATTCATCGAAGAGTCACTTATTGAGATAACACTATTAAAATCATTGGTTCTCTCTTTTCAATAACTTACTGAAGATAATGCATTCCGTTCAAGTTGCTGTACGTGTGAGGCCGTTAGTGCCTCATGAGTTGGAGAGTGGATGTAGATCTTTTGTGGAAGTCATTCCTAAGGCACAGCAAATTATAACCAAGATGAGAAATGATAAGTTTACTTTCAACTACGTGTTCGACAGCAGCACACCACAAATTGACATTTATGAAACAGTTGTTCAGAACGGTAATTATTAAGCTGCTTTTCCAGTTCCTCTTTCTCATGTAACAGATGGGGTGCACAGAAGGAGCCTCCCCGAAGATTGTGACCATTAAACAACGCTTAGAATGACATCACAATCGGGCGCACCCCGGGCAACTCTGACATTTCCGCGGCAAATCCTTCTGCAACCTACAAGACTTTGAAAAAAGCTAATTGGTTTGCATTAGGGCTCTGTCGAGACTCGCTCCTAGCTTCTGTTTTCTTCAGCTCAGAATGTTCAGGAGGACAAGGTGTGCCAGGCTGGTTGGAAACTATTCAAAGTCTGAGTTCTTCAATTGTTTGCTTTAGCCTGTTGATTTCCTGCTTCTGAGGATCCTGATTGACAACCGGTTAGTTCTTGATTTTCCGTGCTCGGTCAGCATACCGCAGAGTATTGACCGTTTCGTCCAGGTTATTGTCAGCAGGACTTACACAAGCTAACATGAGAGTCAGAGCGTTGCCAAGTTCAACGAACATTTTGTTGATAGCTCTCTGAATAATGCCCTGATCTGCAGGGTTTGCAGAGGACTAGATGTTCAATGTCAGCGTCTCATTCCTCGAGCTGTATAATGAACTGCTGATTGATTTGCTGAGCGAGAACAAGAACAGCAGAGTAGATCTCGCTGGGTCAGAACGGTCCAAGAAGACCAGAGATGAGGGAAAACGTTTTATAGAAGGAGTGAACATCAACAAAGAGTTATTATAAAGAGGGGAACGTCATCTCCTCATTGTGTGACGGGTCTGTGTTTGTCAACAACCGAGACAGCAAATTGACGAGGCTGTTGCAAGACTCTCGGTGGCAACGCTCTGACTCTCATGTTAGCTTCTGTAAGTCCTGCTGACAGTAACTTGGACAAAACAGTCAATACTCTGCAGTATGCTGACCGAGCGCGGAATATCAAGAACTAACTTCAACCACACCCTGAGTGGCATCGACCCTTCGCTAAACGACGATCAGAAAACAAGTACACAATCACTCAAAGTACTCATTGATGAACTTAAAACTGAAAACAAGAAAAGTGAGACAGAAAGAATTCAGTTTGAGGAACAGCTTCGTGCTGCGGAGAAAAGTTTGAATCAGTCAAGTCATCGAGCTGACGGTCGTAGTAGCCGCTTTAAAAGCTAACGCCACTTCTCCTTTTCATCTCGAATCATAAAGAGCATATTAGTTAATGATTTATTTTTTTTACGTTTTATAACTTCTATGGCTAGAAGAATTTTCATGTTCAGGCACTCATCAAATAGCTTTTTCCATCGCTTTCCTGTCGAAAACCCTTCAGGAAGTGCTGTTGCGGATGAGGCAAGCTGCTAAATAATTTACAAGGTAATCAGTAATAAGCTTGTTTTACCTTACTCCAAACAAATCAATCAAGGGAGACTAACTCACAGTATGTAATTCTTTTTTAAATATCATGGAATATATTTAAAAATATATTCATATTAATGGAACTGAATTTCCTGCAGAATCAATTGGGAAATGATTTGGCAATGGAACATGGGTATATTTCAAATCAATCCTGGGATCAAATTTAGGGTCGCCTATGTGTGGGGGGGGGGGTGTACCTGCTGCAAGGCCACGAAGAAGTAATACTCACTTTGGTTGTGGTCAATATCTCAGGCTTATCACTCTCATCTGTACTGATTTCTAATTTTGGTTCGTCAACTTTTGGCAATATTGATTTATCACCATTTGGCAATAATGATTCATCATTTAGGTTATCAGAAGGATTTCCTGTAAGATGTGATTCCACAGCGGAAGTGACCGTTGATGGTGAGAGCGGAAGACTATAAGACGTCGACCAGGACGGCCAATAAATAATAGGAGGCCGACGAACTGGTAGACATGAACGAAATACAAATAATACTATTGTCATATACAGCAAATATAATACAGCAAGCACCCTTCCGTGTTAGGTTTAAGTGTGCTCTCCAACAGCTGCCTGAAGATTTCACATTTAATTTAGGACTGTTGGTTAATCGCTGCATATAATTTCCAAGCCGAACAAACAAGTGGTGATCGCCGAACCTTCAGCCTTTGTTGTCATAGAGGAAAAGTTATTTCACCATTTTTACGTGTTTCACCTATAATTCAAAGACTACTTGAAAATCGTGTGTCGATGGACCTCTCCCAAAAGCAGATGTGTGTGAATTATATTGAGAACATAAGATTGTTCAACACATAATTTGCAATGGTTAGCTCCGAGTGCCGTATGGATGATAGCGTTGCCAATATTGTCTACAACTTCAAGATTCATGACACAATCTATCACTGCATTGGAGGGCTTATCCCTCACGACTTTCATCATCCAAAATATGCTGAGTTATATTTTTACGACGTCGACATTGCAAATCGAGAAAGACTCAACGATGCAGCAAATCAAAACTGTGACCCGCAAGTGATGGAGGAAATTGCTTTACATTTGGCAGCGGTAAATCCATTCGTTCAATCTTTCAAGATGCGCGAAATTGTTCAAGAAGCAGCACCAGAAGAAACGGCAAATGTTAGAATGTTTATTATGACTACTCCTAATCAAGATTCTAGACGATACAATGATGCAAGGTGCATTGACGTCGCTGCAATCTTTAAATCTGACAATGGTGCTCCGCCTGGAGAACGAAGTTTGGTAGTGTATCCCAAAGCTGAACAGCTACGTTTTGTTTCTGTTTTGTAGCCATCACTCGATCCAATTAAAACTAGATTTTTTAAAATAGCAACACTTAAGATTAACTGCCTACATGCATTGGTGGACAGAGTTTCTCCTTGACAGCGACGATTTCGTGCGCCAGGTATGCTGGTATTATTTATTTTAAAACTCGACCAGCTCAAAATTGAAGTCAAAGACAGCATAGAATTTTTTGGCTTAGAAATAAAAAGTGCACTCAAATGGAACTGTCATGTTGAACTTGCTCACTAAAATTTCTTCTGGCCTCTACGCATTGATTAGACATCACAACTTAAGAGTTCTACATACATTTCATTAAGATGGAATGTATGTTGTTGAAGCAGTTTTATCCATATAGAATAGATTTCAGGAATTGTAGCTAATCGGTAATAATCATTAATATAACACCAGAAATCGGGGCTGTATCACAAAGAGCTCTCACGCTCTAGAACTTCTTAAAAACCTAAATATGCTGGTTCAAAATTTTATAACAAAGTGCCATAAAGGATAACAGATGAGGCAGTACGTCATTAACAAAGCTATTTATTCTTTCGATGAGTTATAGTAAGTAATGTTAATTTTTGCATTGTTAATTTTAAGAAACCTTTGTTCATAAAGTTTCAACACCTGTATTTGACACTATTTATACGTATGTATTCTGTCCTACAAACAAATAAAGGTTTTTCGAATTTGAATCTCCGAAGCTATAATACCGAATTCCGAAGCTATAATTCATTTGCCTCGGTTAACCTGGCGGCTCGGATAATCAGACCTGGGGTAGTCGGACTTCATTTGTAGGCCTACTTAAAATATTCTGCTTTTATCCTTGTACACCAGTTCCAGTAATTCTTTTTTAAGTAATGTTTTGCCCACATTGAAATAGTTGCAGAAATATATGACTATGACATCACCATTCATTTCACTATGGTGGTATCCTTGGATTTCAAAGTCAAAGTCAAAACATTCTTTATTCATTGTTTTGTAGCGTTAGTACATTGAACATGCGTCATTTCTTAAAACTAATCCTTATAATACAATTTCTGTCAACAAGTACAACAATGTTAAAAACACCATCATTTCCATTGGCAAATATTAAATTTAAGGCCGTTAGTTATTTTAAAACTCATCTAGTGAGTATAATGCTCTCTCAACCAGGTGTTCTTTTAATTTTCTCTTAAATTTTGAAAATTCTTGATTTGTGTCTATTATGCTAGAAATTTTGTTTAAATATTTAGACCCTATATAATTTGGCTTTTCTCAAACATTTTTAATCGGGGACTTTGTAACCTTATTTTTTTATTGTTTCTTGTATTATAATGGTGGATCAACTGACCAGTCTCAAATTGCTCTTGATTTTGTTTTGAGTAAACGATAGTTTCATATACATGAAGACTAAATACCGTCATAATTCTTAATTCTTTAAAATGTTCTTTAACATGGTCAGTTTGTTCCATATTGAGCATTATTCTGATTGATTTCTTTTGTAGTTTTAATATCTCATTCAGATTATTAATATTGGTTGCTCCATAAACATGTATATTGTAGGCTAAATGAGAACGAATCATACCGTAATAGACCATTTTGAGAGTTGTCAGATCACAAATATTTGTTAATGTCCTGAGAGCAGACACACCCGAATTCATTTTTGCCAGTACTTTTTCAACGTGGGAGTTCCAACTGAGACTGCTGTCTATATTTAGGCCTAAAAAGGTTGTTTGTCGAACAGGTTCTAAAGATGTATTATCAATTTTTATGTTGGGGAAAGCAATTGTTTTGTTTTTGGTGGAAAAGTTAATATAATTAGTTTTAGAAATGTTCAAAAATAAATTATGCTCAATTAAAAACCTTTGGATATTAATGAGTTCTGAGTTTGCCACAGATTCTATATCCTCCAATTTTTTCCTGATATCTTTAAGTTTGAATCATCTGCATAAAGAATTATTTTGCTCTCCCTTTGATTTATACTAGTGTTTGGTTCAAACCGTTGATGTAGATTATGAACAATAAGGGGCCCAAAATTGACTCTTGAGGTACACCTGTTTTTATTTTTTCAAGTTTTGATGTTATTTTTGTTGTACTGTTTTTGTGAGTGTGTGTTACTTCTACATATTGAGCTCTGTTTTCTATATATGACTGAAACCAATTATAAGAAATGTTGGTAATTCCCACATTCTTTAGAATTTCCAACAACTTACTGTGGCAATCATTATCGAATGCTTTTTTAAGGTCCATAAAGATGCCAATACATGTTTCACCTTTATCTATTGAATTTAGAATGGTTTCCACAAATTCTGCTGTTGCAGTCCCAGTTGATCTCCCCTTACGGAAACCATGCTGAGATTCATCTAACAAACCCTCCGTCTCTAAATATTCCAATAGCCTTTTGTGCATGGCTCTCTCATAGATTTTTGAGAATGTTGGGAGCAACGATAAGGGCCTATAATTTGAAATTTGTTTAGGATCACCTTTTTTTAGAGCTGGTATTACTTTGGCTATTTTTAGTTTGTGCGGAAAAATTCCAGAGACAAAGGATGAATTGATCAGATGATCCATTACCTTGCATATTGCTGGGCCAATAAACTTGATCACTTTTATTGGTACTTCATTTCTATTGGAAAATCAACGTTTAGTTATCTACAAATTTATTTTCATTTCCATAATGAAAGACTACTAGACGCCTACCGTTGCCACTTGGATTTCCAATCAATTAAGTCCATTTGGAAGTTTATTAAGAAAAGCATCTTTTCATTACATTTGTTTTTTACTTTAAATATTTGTGTACAATTTCTGTAAATACTTTGTTGGAAAAAAGATTTATTCATTCATTCCTTCATTGATGTACTGAAATGAATAAGGTTATATGAATTGAACAAAGCTTATAAGTATTTTCTTTTATCCAGTATCACGTGTCTCCGAATGTGGACCGACTCAACAACACAGTGTCAGGAAAAGGCAAACGAGGAGCACAAATACTGACCCCTTCGTCTGTCATATTTTATCTCAATTGTTCCGACGGCAGCCAGTACGCGGTGAGAAGCTGTGTTCCCGGGAAACTCGTTGAGGTAAGAGTCACTAAAACTGTGTTAGGTGTTTTGTTAGTAATTTTTATCTGTGTTAAACTTGTGCCTAAAGCAAAATAAAAATAAAAAAATTAAAATATAAAGGTACAAGCGCTTTGAAGGAATCATCGTCATAATTAGTGATATTTTCTATAGTGGAGTTGTTTTTTCCTTAAGGGTGGCGGGTTTGATGAAATAGGATCAAACACAGAGCTAATAGTTGTAGGTCGTGACTGATGCTGACAATGTTACTGGGCATTAAGATCATTTTAAAACATTATTCAAAGATGGGCTACCTCCTCAGGAGGACGGCCCACTAGGAGTCAGAAGAAATGTAGGCAAAGGTTGATATGCACATCAAATTAATTAATTTCTTAGTCTTTGGTTTCTCTTATTTTTTTTGTTATCTGCATCTTCAACTTCGTCCTCTTCATCTTTTGGCTCTTCTGCTGGTTTCTCTTCCTCTCCCTCTTCCAATGGAACTTCTTTGGTCACTGTCTATATATTTAAAAAGATAATAAAAAAATAGTTAATAGAATGCTCATTTTTAAAATTGTTGACATTAACTGGTTCAAATGGTTCCCATGTAAAACCTGAATTAAGTAGCTTATAGTATTAATCAATGCATCTATTCAGTAAAAATAACTTTGTTTCTAGCTACAAGTTAGAGTACACAAACTAATGAGAAAATTATTTAAAAGAAATAACAGAGAGATTTTCAATAGATAATTATTATAGTTTTATTGGTGATACAATGAAAACTATTTGGGAAATAATTGTAAAAAAATGAGTGACAAACTGATATTACAGTATAAAGTACTGGAAACTACTTTCAGCATCACCATTTCATATTATGTTAGTAATTTTTGAGCTTTGACAAAAAAACTCTAACTTATTAATAAACAAAGACATGAAAAAGGAATCTGTAAATAATTCATGTCTAGGAAGGATATTTTTTAGATTCATAAAATATGCGGGTAAAGTCCTAGTCTGAGCTCTGCTCGGAGCCGTCGGAGTGATTGCTGGAGATGAGTCTGGAGTCAGGGCTGGAGACGGGCCTTGTGTCGAGGCTAGAGTTCACTTGAACTATGACAGCCCCCAAATCAGAAATCAAAACATGAGTTCTTTATTTTCCTGACTAAACTCATTTTCATCACTTTCATTTTCTTCCTCAACAACACTTGTTTTTGTAAACATGTGTTTAAGTTTTGTTGTTCTTCGTTATCTATTTATAGACTTTCTGACCACCTTTTCGGAATGATTTTATGTAATTTCTTCACATGAAGTGACCGCATTACTGGGTTGAAACCGGTCGCCGTTCATCGATGTCTTGATGATATTGACGGATTAAGGTATTTTTAGCCTCTAGTATTAATTTAAATTGTGACCAGGAGACAAAAACATCAAAAATGATATGATGTCAAAAACTGGAGATACAACACTCGCATTCTCACCAGCAATATATTAAAACAAATATATAATAATTTGAATTCATCACTGACAACACCTTGTTATAGATTAATGACCAGCTGATGGAGAACCCCAACCTAGTGACAGAACGACCGTCGGACCGTGGGTACCTGGCCGTGGTGTTGCCGACCATCCCAGTCAGCGGCCGGTACAAGGAAGAGCTGTTAACTCCGGAACAATACCTCAGCAGAGACACATAGTTGTACCTAATGTTTCAGTAAAGTTTATTTATTGCTATTTTTTTGTTCATTTAATTACTTTGTCCTAAACTCGTTGTATTTTCTCTTGTAAATTGGTAAAAAATATCAGTTTATTTTGATGTGATGATGTGTCAGGGCACATGGGCTTGGATTATAAAAATAATTGTTTACGTTTCATCAACAATTTGTAAACTAAAAATAAAATTGTTTATTGCAATTTGCAATTTCTGCAACCTGTTTTAAATATTTAGAAAAATGGCAGAAATATATGGTACCTATCTTTACAAATATAATAGGTCATAAATCAAGAATAAGAATACATCTTTTTTTGAAAATATTTAGTTCCTTAACCCTTTCAGTGCTAGGCCAATAATTCATATTTTGTAAGACTTTTTTGTTTGTCTTTTAATTTCATTACCTGTTGTTGAATTTTAACTGTCATGTTGTCACTATTTTATTAATTAGGCTAATTTTGAATAATAACACAATAAGAAAATATATAAGAAAGATAAATCCCGCTATTTGTAGTAAACATTAAATAAAACTTAGTTTTTGTTGAAATTTTCCTGGTTTTCCTATAAATTTTTATGTTCTGATAGCATTATTTGAAACCAAAATCTCATAAAATCAAAAGACATATAGTTTACAATGTAACATTGAATTTAACCTTGATTTAGTTGGACGAGGTTATCGTAATATAGCCATTTTAGGGAAACTAATGTTTTGTAGCAAAGTCTCAGGAACACATTTATGATCACTGTTGTGTTTAAACTAAAAGATTGCATCTAAATAGTTCGTGACTAACTGGTGCTGCTACCTAGTAACGCATTGAACAACCATCTGCAGCGCCATCTGTTCGCAATCGGTGGCGACAGCTTAAATACCGGGTTTTGACTCCCCAGTCTTCAAGCACAGATAGCCGAGAAGGCTAGGGCGTGTGTCACTTGGCCAGTGGCATTTGTCTGCTCGGGTTCGAATCCCGTCCTGTGTGGCAAATAATTGGTGACCTGTGTGTTTGTAGCGATATACTACAACCACTGGGGCATAGTGAGGTGTTCATAATCCTTGGTTTAGACATACACCTCGAAATCATCGGATTGGGCGAATCTTTTAGCTAAGTGGTTGATAGTGTATCCTATGAACATGCAGGTCACCAATGGCCGTTTTGCTATTTTTTGTTAAAATAACCTTCCTCTCTATATCCCTTAGAGATTTTTTAAAACAACGATATATCGTTTCATAGCACTGAAAGGGTTAAACCACATATTATGGTCAAATTGAATAGTATATATATGTTTAAAAAAGATCCAGGTCACAGCGCTTCGACAAACACCAACCAATCTGTCTACATAATCAACAAATACCAGCTTCCCATCCGCAATATCTACAACCATTATGCAGAAATATTCTTCACTCATCTCAACAGGGTTGAAAACAATTCTATTATTGTTCTGATACCGTCATGTGTAACCTACTAACCTCAGCATTAAACCTACTCCTTATAGATTATCATCCTTATGGATCAGGTGAAAAACATTTGTAAGGCAAGTTCTGTTCAAATAAACGGTGGTGAGTGGTTTATGAAAAGGGCTATTTTATTTTCTACTATTTCGATATCACTTACCTACTTATGAATCATTGCTTTGTATTGTGAAATCTTAAATAGAGAGTGTAACACATAAATCTATATATATAAAAGGCAAAGCCCTCACTGACTGACTCACTCACTCATCACTAATTCTCTTACTTCCCATTTACCTAGGAGGCTGAAATTTGGTACACTGATTCTTTAGGCATTAAATAGGAAAACTAAGCTGTTTTTATTCTGATTGGACTCTCGGGCTCCGCCCCAGTGGCTCTGGAGTTTCCCATGTTAACCTTATGAGTACTCATATTTAAATGGAATTAATGAACCTTAACAGCTGTTTCAATTAAACAAGTTGGTTCTGTTCTATGATGTTCAATAGCATTTAAGTTACAAGGATTACCAACAGGGTGCAGCACTATTATTTCTTTTACATTTATGACAACAGCTAATTTGCAACCAAAAGATGAGTGAGCGTAGCGAACGAACTCCAACCTGGAGGCGAGTTAGCTTAGCGAACAAGCTAACCTGAAGGCAAGTGAGTGCAGCGAACGAGCTCCAACCTAAAAGTGAGTGAGCGTAGCGAACTAACTTCATCCAGGACGTGATTGAGCCATGCGAACGAGCTCACTTATGAAGTTAAACGGGGCAAAGCCCGCGGGTTCAGCTAGTCATCAAATAAACCCCAAAATAAAATAGAAACATAAAAACTGGCTTCAGACTTTACAATAGGATGAGTAACTGTAGAAAACCCCTGAGAATTAAGGTAGAGAAATCAACCTTTGGTATCCAAAAAATGGTCTGGACAAAGTTTCTGCCACAGTTTCAGTGGCTCTCTTTGTGACAGGGCCGTACCTAGATGCTCCTTTGTACGTGGCCAACCAGCGTAAGTGCGGGTCCGGGTTTTACATCAGTAAAACACATTTTTAAGCAATTGTGGCTCTTAAACATAAAGAAATTACTCAGATTTTGTTATTGAAAACTCAAATTTAACTTCTTGCTAGACTATAATTATTTTTTAATGGTTTATGCTTAAATGGTTTTGGTAAAAATAGATTTTTATAAAACATAATCATCCGTTATCCCGATTTCATCTCAATGCTTGTAGCTACATAGGTATGTAATTAAGTAAACAAAAGTATCCCTTTTTGTGGATAAGTAAGTTACAACAACAATCAACACAGAAAAATATTTACAATGTTACATACAATGAGTACAATTTGTACAGAGTTGTTTACATAAGTTGCAATAGTAAGAACTCTGTTCTCCTAAAAACAGAAAACATAAAAAACTACTGTTTTCTGACATCATCAATATTTACAATTGCACTTTCCTTCTTTAACGAAGAGCAAACACATCGATTACTTAATTAAAATAAATTGTTGATGTCATACTTGCCAAATTTGTCAGTCGAGTTTCGCACATGCTCGATCTCAAATAGCTTTTTTATTATCTTGAGCTTGCTGAAACTACGCTCGCAAGATGCAACACTGACAGGCATCGTTAAAAATATCCATAAGGATATTTATATATTTGGATAAGCATCTTTCACCTCATATTTTGAAATGACCTTTAGGAGATCCAAGTGAGAAGCCTTCTCAAAGTCTTTTTTAAGTTCTTTTGCCTGGAACCTAAAAGCAGCTACTTTATTCACTACTTCAAAAATGTCAATGTCTCTGCTGTATTTGACACCCAAGACCGCTGCACATTTTTGAAGGTCACATACAGAGTTTGTACTTAAAGATTTT